AGCCATCTCTCCAGCCCTGTTCCTCTTTATTAAATACTGAATGCATGTGTGCGTGTTTGTGTGCATGCAATTCAATGGTGCGCATACATATATGTGGGGGCCAGAGGTGGAATGAGTGTATAGACAGTTGTGAGCTGCCATGTGGGTGCTGGGAATTGAACCTGGGTTCTCTGGAAGAGCAGCCAGTGTTCTTAACTGCTGGACCATCTCTCTAGCCCCCAGACCCCACATTCTTACACTTATGAAGAACATGCTTTACCCCCTGAGCTCTCCCCACAGCCTAAAGAGTAAATTTTTAAAATAGAGGGCTACTTTATTTTGAAGCTCACATGCATAGTTCACCCTATCCCTATGGAAGCTTGGCTTCTGTCTGGCAATTTTTAAAAATATCTTCTTGGTCTTTGTGTGTGTGTTCATGTGTGGGGCTTCCAGGAGCTGTGAGCTGGGCATGGAGTGCTGGAGACCAAATCTATAATCTTTCTAGTACCGACACTAGGAGGCTTTATGGTTTGTTTTTAAATCTCTCATTAGAATTCTTTAATCTGTGAATAAAAAAAAGTGAGCATTTTCTTCATTATACTTAAATAGAAATGTAGTTAACTATGAGACACAGAAAACTGGAACCTCCGGACTGTGCCCAGAGGTTCCCAATGTCTCAAGTACTAAGAGGGTCAAATGGTTTCCTTCCTGTGTGAGATCATTCCCTGTCAGTGACACCAGCGCAGCTCCCAGGGCTCCTGGGATGGCTCAGTGTCTCCATTTCTTTCTTTCGCAGCCCTCATTCTTCTGGCTACACCGGCGCACGGGTCCCCAAGTGTTTCGACCAAGGGAGCTCAGAGCCTGCACAAGGAAGTACTGCTTCACGGGTATATCACCAGCCCAGCGGAAGAGAAAAGCAGTACTTCCCGGGCCCCAATGGAGAGACTCCCCAACCCCGAATGCCTAGCACTATCCCTGCGTCCTCCAGCTGGGGTGCTGCCCGGCATCTCCAGCAGCCTCTACTAATGTTACGCTGTATCCTCAACCCCCTACTCGCCTCAGTGGCCGCCAGCCTCCGTCAAAGAAACTAACTTCCTTCTACCAAGTCTTCCCGAACTGCCTGCCTGGCCATCTCTCCCTCATTAGCCGGGATGCTGAGGTGTGGGAAGGGTCCTCCTACTCAGAACCCCGGCCTCGGTGTGTGATGTGGGAGTGTCATATATCAATCTGTTGATTTCATTGGTTAAGTTATAATAAACCAACTGCTTGGCCTCAGCTTGGAACATAGATGGGAGGAGTAAACAGAATAGAATTCTGGGCGGAAGAGGAAGTGAGGTCAGACTCTGC